CACATGCCTTCGTACATACATGCCTACATATGCGCCTACATACACGCCTACATGCATACATAGATCTACACTGTTGCGTCTATTCGTTTTTTCGTTCGTTCGGTTGGTTGTTCAGTTGTTGGCTTCGTCGTTTACACAGTGGCATGTTTGCCTGTGTTTGCCTGTTTGTGTGTGGTTGTTCGTCGTATTTTTTTCAAGCTGGCTGCCGTGTCCAACATGTGATTACCAGTATGCATGTACAGACCTGTATATACATATATACATATATATATAGATAAATCAACAGTAAGCAGCAGCAGTTGCAACAAACGCGGAAAAGCTGATGATGATAAAGTTGGGCATAGTAGCAGTATGGTAACAAACACCGGGCAATACTTCGAGGTGTAGAAATCCGTATCCACGTCCGTGATTCTTCGTGTTTCTAGTGGATTTGACGACGACCATTGTGAAGAAGATTTCATTCTAGCATTTCCTCAGACCTTGACTAGTCACCCTGATGGCAACCAAGAAATTTCAACATGGAGTCCTGAACCCCCAAATCACCAGCAAGACATGAGTTTCTGCAGCCCTCAAGCCTCACATTCGGCATTGTTGGGCTTCAGGGCTTTAGGGTTTAGGGGTTTTGGATTTAGGCTTCGGGGTTCAGGGTTAAGGGCAAAGATCCACTGAAAAGGTGACCTGGGGCGACTGCTACGCGGGCGGCAACAGCAGCCGAGTTCAGTCGAAGCTCCAGAACGTGCGGCAGCTCCTTGGACGATCAAAAGTTACTAGAGTCTATAGGGCCCTAAAGGTTTAGGGTTTAGGGTATAGGGTTTAATTTCCGATACTATTGTGGGGGTTCCTTTTTATCTTTGTAGCTATAATATGTCGAGAAATCAGAACTGTTACTTAGTTTCCCCCTATAGGGCCCAAACCCTCAATCCTCGACCCATGGACCTTAATTCCAAAACACTAAACCCACTTAAAGGATCACGGGACTTAGTAACTAGGGTTATAATTGGGGTAACTATACTTATAACCCCAACTAAGGTACTTATAACCTTACTTCCTAAGTCCCATGATCCTCCAAGTAAACCAGAACCAAGCTCAGGATCCAGGCGACCGACAAGGCTTTCGCGGCCATCGTGGGCAACGGTGAGGTGGTGGCCTGGGGACACCCAGACTACGGCGGAGACTGCAGCTCTGTGCAGGACATGCTGAGACAGCGCCTGACATAAGCTAACCCCAGAGGGTCCATGTACAGATATAGTGTGCACTTTGTTTGGCCTAAATACAGCCGTCCCTAGACCCTGAACGTCCTAAACCTTGTACAGGAACCCCTTAAAAGCCTTCCTATAGACCAGCTTTTCTCCATGACTTCTGTCTACTACGACTACTACGACTACGACTACTTCTAGAACTACCACCACCACCACGACGACTACTACTACCACCACTACTACTACTACGACTACTACTACCACCACCATCACGACGACGACGACGACGACGACGACGACTACTACTACTACTACTACTACTTCTACCTTTACTTCTACTACTACTCCTACTCCTACTCCTACTACTGGGCTTGCGCGCCTCCTGGCGCCTGGTAGTTTGTAGGTGTTAGAGGGTCAAAAGTACAGTCTTTTACAGGGTTTTGTGAAAATTGCAGTTCAGCTACGTTTTCAAAAACTACTTTGATTTACTAATAGTTACACTTTTGGATGAGGATGATGATGCTAGTGATGCTACTGCTGATGATGATGATGATGAAGATGCTGAGAATGACAACGATGTGCATGTTATTGGAAGCCACTAGTAGGACTGAGGACTACCGCCACTAGTGCTACTACTACTAGGTCGCTTGTGCTAGTGCTAGTGCTACGGCTGCTGGTAGTGGTACTGCTAGTAGGACTCCTAGAAGGACTGGTACTAGTACCTAGTAGTACTGTAGTAGTGCTACTATTAGTGCCACTGGTACTGGTACTGCTACTGCCAGTCCTAGTGCGACTGCTACTGCCTCTGCTGCACTGTTAGTGCCACTGGTGCTGGTACTGCTACTGCCACTGCCACTGCTACTGCTACTGCCAACACACGAAAATCGAGCCACTGTGCGGCCCCCCCCCCTCACGACCCCCCCGCACCAGTGGAACAAAATCCTTCGAAAACACACGAAAATCGAGCCACACCGTGGGGATTGCGAAACCGGCAAAAATTGCGGTGAAGCATGTCGTGATTGACACCCCCACCATGCCCTCCCCTCCCAGTCGAACAAAAGCCCCCGCAAAACGCTCCAAAGTACCGGCATTGCCAGTGTTTTCGGCAACAAGAAGACCATTGCGGTCGACCATGTCGTTATTAACCCCCCCCCCCCCCCCCCCCCCCCCCCCCCCCCCCCCCCCCCCCCCCCCCCCCCCCCCCCCCCCCCCCGCACCCCCCACCCACCCAAAACCTCCCCGAAACGCTTGAAAACAGAGGAAAACATCAGGCGCCAGGAGGCGCGCATGGCTACTGCTGCTACTACTACTACTACTACTACTACTACTACTACTACTACTACTACTACTACTACTACTACTATTACTACGACTACGACCTACTACTACTACTACTGCTGCTACTGCTGCTACTGCTGCTACTGCTGCTACTACTACTACTACTACTACGACTACGACTACGACTACGACTACGACTACTACTACTACTACTACTACTACTACTACTACTACTGCTACTGCTACTGCTACTGCTACTGCTACTGCTACTGCCACTGCCACTGCCACTGCCACTGCTACTGCTACTACTGCTACTACTGCTGCTGCTACTACTACTACTACTACTTCTGCTACTACTACTACTACTACTACTACTACTACTACTACTACTACTACTACTACTACTACTACAAATTAGTTACTACCATCTTTAGTTCTCACTATTGTTTTGTTTTTGCTAGTATCCCAAAACATGATCATTCTTGTTCGTATTCTCAGTATGGTTGTTATTATATATATATATATATGTATGTACATATTTATGTAAATATTTACATTCATATAGTTTTCTGCATGCATACATGTAGATATACATATATGTATGTACATATATATACAGAAAATACTTAGGTGCATGGACCCTTCGGGAACCACTCGGATCGAAGGTCCATGAGAGCCCAAGGACGCGGCCCAAATCCGTGACCACGTTGACCCCGTTTGGGATGCTTTTTGGGTTCAGGGGCTAGGAGTGTGTGTAGGAGCTGTAATGTGTTGCTACAACTCGCAAGGAAGAACAGGGATGAGCTATGACTGCTGGTTATTCAGACCTCCAGAAGCCCAACGATTTTTTAAGCCAAGCGATGTATTACCATCGATATGACTACTATCAATGTTATAATCCTTGTTACCATTAACATTGTTATGGCGATCATTAGTACCATCACTATGAATGTCAATATCACCTTCTCATTTTGTATCCTTATGATTATTAGATATCATATATTAGATCCATTTGAATCTCGCATCTTTGAGCTGGCCTCGGGATTTCCACCTTCCCGAAAGCCGCCTGAGCCAAATGTTAAATCCCCAAGCCCAAACCGCTGTGCCCTGTCAGCCCTGGAGCAAGCCCTACAATACAAACCTGTAGGTTAAGGATACTTGAAGGATCATGGGACTTAGTAAGTAAGGTTATAAGTACCTTAATTGGGGTTATAAATATAGTTACCCTAATTATAACCCTAGTTACTAAGTCCCATGATCCTTTAAGTAATCAGTCATAAGCACCCTCAGGGGCTCAGGGTGGACGGGGGTAGGGCCTGTAATGCCCATAATAAGGACTTAACGAGGCCTATTTAAGAAAGTATAGTCCCGTACCCCCGTCCCCCCTTCCCCCATAAAGGGTCCCTATGAATCAGTAATAGTGACATGAAACATTCCCTAAGGCCGTAAGGTTCCTTACCTTGCTCTAACTATTAAGGCCTCTGTAATGGAGCAAAGGCCGGAATAATCAACAGCGCTGATTATGTCTTTGGATTCCTGGTCATAGCCTTCTGTCTCACATGCCTCAAAGCTTTTTGCAGCTATTTAAGGCATCTTTGTTCTAGCAAAGCTCGCGAGCATCGACCTTCGAAGTAGGACGACCCGCGACCTGGCCAAGAGGTGAAAAAAGCGGTTTAGAGAGCAGGGTTAAACCCTAGACTGCTAAACCCTGTGGTTCAGGGCTTCTGCCGCTCCTTCGGGTGTGCCCATATGTAGCCCCGCAAGTTGGAGCTTCTGTGTCTTAAGCTGCCTTCAGGGCTCCCTGCTAGTAGACTCCGCTTCGAGGTTTGTGTCACTTGTCTTGGGGTGGGCCCTTTCCAAAACTGGCCCCTTGAAAGGAAACGGTCGGGACCGGAACCTTACAAGGAAACCAAGTACCAAACACCGGTGCAGAGAAGCCACAATGGCATCGCACAACTTCAGATTCAAGACCACGAGTTCAACTGTGTTCAGGCTTGGGCCGCGTTTAGCTCTTCGGGATCGAAGTTTTTCAGCAGAAGGTTGCTGTATTGGAGGGGCGTTGGGCGTTCCCAAACCCGGGTCTTCGTATCGATGCCCTATCTCAGGTCAAGGGTTTAGGCTTTCGGGTTGAGCGGAAAAGACCCTCCAATCACCCACACCAGCCAAACCGAGAAAAACCCTGCGGCCTAATCCAAACCCCGCAAACCTCAAAGTGTGGCTTTAGTTCATGGGCTCACGGCTTGCCGTCCAGTGAGGGTGTAAAGGATGCGAGTTCAAACGCATCCTGGGTGTTCTGTGGGATTTCGAAGCACGAAGTGCTTGATCAGACTCCTACGACATGAACTCTGTGCTTTAGGGCTGAACAGCGAGGCTCTCAGGCCGACAAACCACACCCTCGATCCCAAGTAAGAGACCTGAAAACAACTGCCTTGCCCTCCTTGAAGATAGATCTAATCCTACATACTCGAATCCTCAGGTATTTATGCTGGCCCACCTTCCCACAGCCCGATCTTAGCTTCGTAGGTCCGTGTGTCGCCACTTCCTCGAGGGCAAGTGCACCTATGGCAGTGCCTGCCGCTTTCTGCACACAGGTGGCAGATTCAAGATGTAAGTGCAGGGACTCTAAGCTAACCCTGCAACAGGAAAAATGCCGCCAAAAAGCGAGCCCGCATTTCAGTAAAAGTCGGTGGCAGTGAAGAGGTTTCGGTGTGTAGGGTGTTAAGGTTTTGGACGCTTCGGAAGTACCTCCAGTCATTCTGAGGTATGTTAATCCCGTACATGCACTTTAGGCTTTGCACACATATGGGGTCCTGATAGGCCAAGCTTGTACACCCATCTCTGTGCCAATTGACTTTCGGCTTGCCCGCGAAATGCCGTGACTGAGTTCATTCCTTACGCACGCTTTTGACGCCGTTACTGCGGTGGGCAATGGGTAGTCCGCGCAACGAAAGCTACAAAGCTCGGCAAGTGTTGCACGCACACACACACACACACACTCTCTCTCTCTCTCTCTCTCTCTCTCTCTCTCTCTCTCTCTCGGTACATATTTCATAGATACATATATAGATAAGTAGAGAGACAGATAGAGATGTGTGTGTATATATATATATATATATATATTATAAGTATATACTTTTCCGGACATACATTACATATATACGGACATATATATATATATATATATACATATATATATATATGTACATATATATATATATATATACATGTCTACGGGGCGCCCAAAGAGACGCGACGCGAAACTCTCTTGCGGGGAGGGAAGAAGACATCTACGGGGCAACTTCGAATTCGAATGGGGTGTAAGCATGAGCGCTATCAGCCCGCTCATGTCTGCAACTAACAAAGCTGGGTCGCTGGGAGGAGGATTCGCCGCGCGGTTGTGGCTGAGTGGAGCTTGCAGCACCGGGGCCCAACAGCTGCCCAGTGAAGTGAGGGCTGACTGGAGGCTGAAGCAGCAGAGTCCTGCGCCAAACGTCGAAACATCAAATCTGTCATGAGCAGACAGACGCCAGCAGCTCAGAATCCATGCGCAACATCCCTCCACGTCGGCGACCGAAGACCCAGCCTCGGAATGCTGAACCACGTGCAGGCTGAAAACCTGAACTCGACACCCCCACGCACAACCCTAAGACCTACTCCACAGTCACTTCCTGAACAGAACCCAAGATATCCAGCTCAGACACCGAACCAATTTGGAACGAATGTTTCTTTCGGGATTATCCAGACCAATGAGTTGTTGTTGCATTGCTGCGTATGTTGTCCGTGTTTACATAATACGGCTAGACTAAGCCCAACGCTCTCAACCTTGCAACCCTTCGGCTCCTAGATTCTATGTCCTATGCGGGGACGGCTGAGTAGAATCCTATGTGGGAGTTTCGGTACATGAAGGGCCGCCGCTTGACACAGCCCACCCTAAACAAAGTAGGGTCCTAAACCAGGCAGCCTCCATCGTAAGAAACCCTGTACTGTAGTCCGTATTGCGGTTTTTGAAACGGTTACAAAAACCCGATAAAAGCCTGTTAAATGTGCAAAAGCTTACACAACCGAAACCCTAAAACCGTGGAACCCTGCCCGGCTCCCTGACCCTGCTACCTGCTACACAGGCGATACACGTGGCCCTGCCCCCGAGCCTTTTTGGCCTCCTGCCGTGGCGCGCACGGCGCAGGCAGGAGTTGTAAAGGGTTGTATGGCAATTTCAGGTCTAGTCTAGGGTGCAGAGTGCTTCAGGGTTTAGGTTTTGCGGTCTGTTCATGGGTTTTTAAAGCTTGACAGCGCATTACGTCTCGGGCCTTGAGCTTGTAGGCTGAATATCGTCCTTAGGAGGATGAGGCTTCATACGACCACAAAGAACAGCAGTTACAGGCAACAGCGATAGGTCTCGGGACTGAAGCCTTATTCCTGCTGGCGTATATGCATCCAAAATTAACGGGTTCGCCCTGAGGCCAAAATTCTGAAGCTAAATCCGAAACCCTGAACCCATGCCGCCGTGGACGACTAAGGCTTTAGGATTCAAGACTTGGGCGAAGCTTACGGGTGGTGGTGGTCCTACAGCGAAAATGGCTAGGATAGGGTAAGCACTTTAGGTCTGGGCAAGGTCGGGCAGCCTACTGTTCTTAACCAGGTTCGTATGGGGAGCCCAACGTGTACTGTATCTTGTGATGCTCCGGTGCCCGCAAGGGTTGTGTCATAGCACATGGTTGAGACCGGCTCCTGCCCTGCTGGGGAGTCAGCAGCGGAGCAAGAAGCCAGGGCATGCAAAGAAGGGCGACCTCTTGGTAAGCAGGCAGAAGGCGCCCAAGCTTGCAAGAAACCAAAAGACGTCGTACTTATCCAGAGCAACATGCATCGCACTTGTGAGCACATCGTGTAGTAGTAGAAGTAGTAGTAGTAGTAGTAGTAGTAGTAGTAGTAGTAGTAGTAGTAGTAGTAGTAGTAGTAGTACTAGTACTAGTACTAGTAGTAGTAGTAGTAGTAGTAGTAGTAGTAGTAGTAAGTAGTAGTAGTAGTAGTAGTAGTCGTAGTAGTAGTAGTCGTCGTCGTCGTAGTAGTAGCAGTAGTAGTAGTAGGTGGTAACTACTGATAACTACTGTCCTTAAGCTTGCAGGTTCCTGCACAGGCCTCGGTTTCAGGAGTTCGGGCGTGTTTATGCGATTACAAATACGATGGCATGGTCATTTTGCCTTTTGAGCCTTTTTCCTGAACCGCAAACCCAAACCTCTAAAACCCTGCATAAGCCCAAAGCCCTGATGGCATTGTCATGTTTCCCTTCAGTTTTGCATCATGCCCTCCAGCCCGCAGTCCCAAAGCCCTCGAGCGGCTTCTGCTGCCGCAGGCCTCGGAAAAGTATGGCCCGGTGAGGATGGGGGGGGGTTGGGGATTCTTTAGGGTTTAGGGTTTAAGGATGGGGGCGGTTTGGTTTGGATTTTGGCAGCTCGGTGGTTTGATAGAAGGACCCAGTAGCTATCTGCGAGCGAGAAGTATGCCCACAAAGGGACTTGAAGCGCTTGTGTCACTGAGCCTTACTTCGAGGAAAGGATCCTTCGAAGGTCACCAGTTACGGAGGTCCGGCTGGTGAAGCTCGTTCCCCTCTTTTGAGCGGGGTGGTCAGCAAAAACACGACCACGAGCACCGGAAATGTTCAAACGGTTGACATGAAACACGGAGACCGAGCTCATGGGTCGTCTCGCCCTCCTGCGGTTTCATACAGGGCCTAAAAATACTCTTTTTGGCGGTGCTTCATTATAGTTGTAGTATAATATACCCCAAAACCCTTTTGAAAATTATTAAGGCCCCGATATTATCATTCATAGCTCCATGGCCAGAAGCCCAAACCTGGACCGGCTGCTCCACCCATGGAAGAGAAGTGATGC